CCCCCCCCCCCCCCGCCCTGTCATCACTCTTTACGAAGAGACCAAAAGCTGAGAATAGGTGTCTCTTGTGGGTAAAGTTCGACGTATAATACCTAAATTTGGGTTAGGTTTTTAGTGAAAATAGTGGCAAAATTCCGAAATAAAAATCCTATATAGAAGTTCCTATATTTTCGAAAATTTGCAATCGGACCCCAGGTTTAGTTATTAATTAATAAAAATAATTTTGAAAAACCTAAATCATGTCAACATCATATTTTTGATATAGTAAATTTATTTAAATAAGTTAAAATTGAAATTTTATTTTATTCTTTAACTTTAGATTTCTCATTCACAAGAATGTCAAGCATGTGATCAATTAATTAAACAAATATGTTTATCACATGGAACTGAACGTGAAGTTTTATGTACTAATGAAACTGGTTATACAAAAACATTTACATGTGGTGAACCATGTGGAAAATTACTTTCATGTGGTCATCATATATGTACAAAAACATGTCATGATGGACCATGTTCAGATTGTTTATTATTACCAGAAAATTGTAAAATATGTGCTTCTGGAAAAACAATTATGAATAATCAACAATGATCATCATGTATTGATCCTGTATGATTAAAATGCTAATTTTTTTTTTGAAAATGAGTTCTTTTTTAATTTAGTTACCAACTTGTGAAAAATTATGTGAAAAAATTCTATTATGTGGTTTGATCGATAATCGTCATAAATGTTTAGCTCAATGTCATAATGGACCATGTCCATCATGTAGTAAACAATTAATTGTTCAATGTCGTTGTGGAAAATCAAGTAAATCAATATCATGTATAGAAACATCGGAATATAATCCAATAACAAATCCTTTTCGATGTAAGGGTGGGTGTGGGTGTGGGTGTCGGTTTTGAGTGTGGGTGTGGGTGTGGGTGTGGGTGTGGGGGGGGGTGTCGGTGTGGAGGGGCGGGGGCGGAGGGGGAGGTGCGGACCGGGGGCGCGCCGCTGGGGCGC